CCAATTATGTTTTTCTATTCATTTTATTAACTGACAATTTGTACCGAAACAATATATAATATATAATAATATAATATATTTATAAATATAAATAATTTATAAATTTAAATAATTGTATTGGCTTATAAATTTAAATAATTGTAATGTTTTATAGGCTGCGATTTTTCTTGATTTCATGTAAATGAGTTGAATTAAAATTACATATTAATTATATTTATTAAACATAATTAAAGAAATATGTTCTTAGGAGAGATAGTAACATTTATTCTCAATCAGCCTAAAATATCATTACTAAGGGCAGAATTTATTTTGCTTTTTAAGTGGATTGTATCTAAAGAGAGAAATTTAATTTTATTTATCTTATTATTAAGTTAATTAAAAACATAATTAATAATTTTCAACGAAATCATGCTTATAAAATCATGCTTATGTCTTATAAAATTATAATAATGTTTAGGGTGGTAGATGAAAAACGTCAATTAAATATCAAAATAAATATTTTTAATATATTTTTGTCTTTATTTCATATTAATATTTTTTTATCTTTATTGTTAATATCATACCACATTGCTGAGTATTGAAACATGAACAACCACTCATGTTTTTGCGATTCATGTTATTAACTAACAATTTGTATAAGCTGCGATTAATTTTGGCTGCGATAATAGGCTGCGATTTTCTTAATTTTATATAAATTGGTAAGTTTAATTAAAATTACATATTAATTATATTTATTAAACAGATTAAAAGGATAGAGAATTTTAATTTTGTTTATCTTATTATTAAAATCATTAAAACGCAATTTGTTTTAAATTTTTTTACGAAATAATGCTATATTTTATAAAATTATAAAAAGCAGTGGATGAAAAACGCCAATTAAAAATCAAAATAAATATTTTCATTTTTTCTTGATTTCAGATAAATTTTTAATCGTTATTTTTAATAATATACCTTATAACTGAATATTAAAACCTGAAAAACCACTTATTTTTTCCATTCATGTTAATTATTAACAATTTGTACAAAAACATCTTCTAATAAGTTAGAATAATTATTATGTTTAATTGCAATTTTCTTAATTTCATATAAAATAGATACGAAGCTGAATTAAAATTATTTCCAAATATGTTGTATGCCGTACTGAATAACTCAGCTGTATTGCACTGAATAAAAAATTAGACAAGTATATTGTATTTAATTACTCGGTTGTATTTGCCGTATTTATAACATTTTGTTTGCAGTGTGCCGTATTTAAACAAATTCTGAGTATGTTGTATTTAACACCTCGGTTGAACTGGGCAGTGTTTAAACTAAATTCCAAGAATAATGTACTAAATAGTTCGATTGTATTACGTTGCATTTAAAATTAATTTCTAATTATGATCTTATGCACTAAACAGTTCGCTTGTACTGCATTTTTTTAAAAATAATGCCAAATTAATATTTTATCAAGAAACTTGGTGGCTCGCATTGTATTTAAAATTAATTTTTACGATGTATAACCAATTAATTAATTTAATAAGCTGTTTCTTTTTAAATTTAAACGCATTTTAACATTCTATAGCTTAATTTTTCATTTTTCTTATATCAAAAATTACTATTGGTAACATTTGTTGACCTGTTTCAATGTTTCCTGTGTCAATGTTTTAGATAATTTAGGTACACTACTAGACACTACTAGCTGTCGGCTGTACAGTCCGCAAAAAAAAAAAGATATCACCCTGAATAACTTTTGTTCTAATGATCCGATTTTCACGATCTAAGTGTCAATCTTAATGGTTCCTGGAGGTGACCTCAAATATGCTAATTAATTAGTGCTAACTATTAATTAAGTTACGAAATCAGACACAAAAACGTACTTTCTCTGAATAAACATATATTTTTTTTTACATATTTGGAATCTAGACACTTGAATTAGGGGGGGTAGACAAAATTTTAAAACAATTGGGTCGTAAATTGGGTTGCAATAAAGGTTTATATATTTGGCGATAGTCCAGAAAACCGCCAAAAAAAGTCGCCTGCGCAAATAAATATTTTAAGATAACCCTTGACTGATTCAAAAGAGAAACGCTTAATTTTACTAGGTTGCTAGGCAACCAATTTCTGACTGTAAAAAAATTGAAATAATGTTTTGTGATTGCTCTGAGAGGTTTAATTAATAGTTAATAGAAAACACCTCGAAGTTTCTAGGCAATAGACAATTTTTAAGTTCATTTATGTCCAAAAAGCAAAAAAAATAAATAAATAAATAAAATAAAAAATTATTTTAATCTCTTTTGAAAAGAAAATTTGAATCGATTTATAAGTTTTCAGAATTTAAATACATGAACTTTTTATCTGATATTATTTAGATTATGCTATTTTTGCTATGTTTATTCGAGGATTTCATACTAAAATCAAATTAACATAACTTATAATAGCTATATACAAAATTTTAGGGATAATGATTTTTACAGCTTTAATCGAGTCTTCTAGGCATGAAAGTTTGAAGGAAAAAAAAGTGCATGAAAAATAAAATGTAGATTGTATAGTAATTCTAATGCACATTCACAAGGTTTTCTGTAATTTACGATTTCTTTTTTCTATAACTCAATGAATTGCTGAATGTTTAGTGGCATTTTAAAAACATTGAAATATGTTATGTTTAAGAATAAGATATAGAAATAATATGTTGCATATTGTATGATTCATTGTTTAAAAAATTGCTTCATTTTGCTAGATATTTACGTTACATGGTTTTCTTTGGATAAAGATGATTAGCAAATAGCATCCACATGTTTCGATACATTCTGAAACTTACGTTCGCAAATTCACCATAAAATGTCGCACAGCATATTCTTCAATTACGATAAGCTACATTTACCACCAAATACTGCTACTATGATTATTTTTGTTTTCTTATATATATATATATATCTGATATGATACTCTCTTTTTAAACAGAGCTCGTAAGGCCCTTAAGATACTGAAATGGGGGCACGAAAACTTAAAAGATTTTTTTTTCCTAATGCCCGCCTGTGTTAACATCCGTCAATTCAGGCATCTACAGGGCGACAGATATCTGTGTGGCCTAAGGATTCCTAACGAGCATCAAACATTCTCAAAATTAAGTGTTCATTCACTGGAAAATTTAGTGTTTATTCAATTTAAGAACTGTTCCTTCACTTGGTTATCTTACTACTTATTATTTAAACCACCAAAAGCTTAAAACAATATTATGTAAGTTATCTAAATTTTTTTTACATAATTTGCATTTAATAACAAATATGTCGACATGCATTTAATAACAAATACGTCATTTAGCTAAAATTACAAATTTTGAAATTTTTATGATTTTTTTTTAAAGACAAGCTAAGCTTAAGTATTCCTTCACTGGTTAGTTTACCCTATAAGATTTTGAGAAATTTGCGATGTTGTGAGAGATGCTTAAAAATGTTGACTGCGTATTTTTATTAATATTTATAAAATATATATTCAAGAAATTGATGAATATTTTATTCCAAATTTATTCATTCGTATGTATATTATTGAAATTTTATCAGTTATTGAGAAAAAAAAAATAAAAAAAAATCACATTAAAGAAGCACAATCTGTTGTATAATCATATTCTATCAGAAGCATGCTTTTATAAAACTCCACATTCTCTGAATAAAATGTATTTTATTCAATAAAATGTTTTATTCAAATTTCTTTACTAAATTGCAAATAGAATTTTAGACGACTAAAGAAGAAACATCGTATTTTATAGCTTAAAAAAATAAAAATGAAAAGATAAGCAAACGATTATTAGCGAAAAAAATATGAATGAAATTTTATGCTAAGCGCGCGAAGTCAAGTTCCTCGCAAGTTTATCACATTTTAATATTAATCGCTCCATTTAATCATTTCTTCATTGTCGCCAAATTATTTTTTTAAAAATAATTAATTTTAATTTTTCTCAGCTTCTAATAAATAAAAACAGTTGAAACTTTAGATTTTTCAATTGAAAAATATGTAGATTAATATGGTATAAAAAAATTCATACCTTATAATTCAAAAATTTTTCATCCTTAATTTAATTAAATAATAAAAAATAATTAACAATTATTAAAAATTATTTTTTTCGTGAAATTATCTTTGGGTAAATGAGTTTTATGACTGGGTGAAATTTTCTTCGAATTGCTTTATTAGTTTTTAAAATATGACTAAAAACGTAAAAAGTGAAATTAACATTAAGGGGTACGAACTTTGGATCGCTCTCCTGACCAAACTATGGGGACCATATTTCCCAGATTGCGGCTACCCCCTATATTTTGAAGGTTAAGAATCCAAATATGTAAGAAAAAATATATGTTTATTCAGAGAAAGTACGTTTTTGTGTCTGATTTCGTAACTTAATTAATAGTTAGCACTAATTAATTAGCATATTTGAGGTCACCCCCGGGAACCATTAAGATTGACACTTAGATCGTGAAAATCCGATCATTATAACAAAAGTTATTCAGGGTGATATCTTTTTTTTTCTGCTGCTTTTACATTGTGTATAAAGTTTAAATAACAGGAAGAAAAAATTTTTTATTAGTGCTCATATCCTAATTATATTTGGGCAGATTTCCGCATCGTGATCTGTGGCAGAATAATCACTAAGTCTTGGCAACTATCGGGCAGAGGCCTGTTAGAAACTAAAAAAAAAAAAAAAAAAAAAAACAAAAAAACATCTTAGAAAAAAGGACCAACTCGAATCGTAGCCGACCCCAGGCAAACATCTACATGTTTTTTTGTTTGTTTTTTTAAAAATCACAAGTTCAAAATTTAGTTGGCACCTTGGCGATTGTAGTTGGAGCGACAGATCACGATACGGAAATGTCCCCTTACTTTTTTAAAAAAATAAAGAATTTAAGAATATTTTTTAAGTGCTTGAAAAGTGCTTAAGAGAGGCTTATTTTTTGTTCAAAAATTTGGCTATATAAACACCCTGATTCCATATACTTATGTTATAATTCCTGTTGCTTACATTTCAGGGTCCGTATTCCATCCAAATGTGTCTTTTACTACCGATGTCCAGAGCATGGCAACCGCTATGTCCTATCCATTGTCTTTGCCTTCGACAGAGAAGATGACGTATACCACTTTGCCTTTAGTTACCCATATTCCTACTCGAGATTACAAAAATATTTAGAGAATCTCGAAGCTCAACAATTGCCTTACTTTAAGCGTGAAAAAATCGGAGAAACATTGGTAAGTGATCTTCACTTTTTGACACGAGTAAAACCTTTTCCGCTTGTCCCACGTATAACAAACTATTAGAGAAATATATTTTTCTTTTGATTTCAATCTTTTTCACACTCAAAACATTTTCTAACTGATCTTATGTGAGACAACAAGAGGAGAAATTTATTTTTCTTTTGATTTCAATCTCTATTTCACACTCAAAACATTTTCTGACTAATCTTATGCGTGTCATAGGAGGAGAAATTTATTTTTCTTTTGATTTCAGACTCTATTTCACACTCAAAACATTTTCTAACTGATCTTATGTGCGACAACAAGAGGGGAAATTTATTTTTCTTTTGATTTCAATCTCTATTTCACACTCAAAATATTTTCTAACTGATCTTATGTGAGACAACAAGAGAAGAAATTTATTTTTCTTTTGATTTCAATCTCTATTTCACACTCAAGACATTTTCCAACTGATCTTATGTGTAACAGCAGGAGGAGAAACATTTTCCTTTTGATTTCAATCTATTTCACACTCAAAACATTTTCTAACTGATCTTATGTGTGACAACAAGAGGAGAAATTTATTTTTCTTTTGATTTCAATCTCTATTTCACCCTCAAAACACTTTCTAACTGATCTTATATGTGATAACAGGAAGAGAAACATCTTTTCCTCTTGATTTCAATCTCTATTTCCCACTCAAAACATTTTTTAACTGATCTTTTGAGTGACAACAGGAGGAGAAACATCTTTTCCTTTTGATTTCAATCTATTTCACACTCAAACCATTTTCCAACTGATTTTTTGTGTAACATCAGGAGGAGAAACTTATTTTTCTCTTGATTTCAATCTATTTTACCCTCAAAACACTTTCTTACTGATCTTATATGTGATAACAGGAGGAGAAACATCTTTTCCTTTTGATTTCAATCTCTATTTCCCACTCAAAACATTTTGTAACTGATCTTTTGAGTGACTTATTTTCCTTTTGATTTCAACCTATTTCACACTCAAAACATATTCTAACTGATCTTATGCATGACCAAAAGAGAAGAAACTTTTATGAAGATCTATAGATTGATATTCAGTTCTCGCTGATAAAGATGCTTTTTCTCAATATGAGCTTTTTCATTTTTCTAGCAACTGTAAAAAGTTCCTTGTGCACCAGTTTTTGTTCACTTTTATGAAATTTTTATAAGATACTCCTTGATGCGTCTTGTTTAATTTTAAGTGTATTTAATTAACTTTAATACTTGAATTGATTTTTTTAATCATTGAAAAATATAATTAAAATAAATTTTTCCAATAAAAAATTTAAATTTAACTCCTGGAATGTTATAACTTTATATGATTACCATTACTTAACTTATTTAAATGCCTTTAAACAACATATTTAGGTAAAAATAGAATTTACAAAATCGAAATTCGCTCGGAAGAAACATTTTAATTATAATGAATATTAAAACTATATATTCAACTATAACTTTAAAATTAATTTTTTTCTGAAACTTTGTATACAGACTTCCTTAAATGCTACCAATATTCAATTAATACTAGCAATATTCTATTAAAGCATGAAGAAGAACGATCTAAAATTGCATTTTTTTGTTTTGAAAGCCCATTATCCTTTTAAGATTTCATTTACCTAACACTAAAAATATTATCACCTTATTCCACGTATATATGTGATTCCTTACCTTTGGAACATTTTTTTACGACAGGCATTGAACTTTCATTCTTTACCTCGGAAGTGTTGCTCATTTAACGTTTTTTAGTGGCGACCTGTGGAGCTAAGTACGGAGGCGAGCAACATTACCCAGGCCACACGGCCACAGATACCCGTTCATAAAATGGGCCACATTCACGCCTCACACACAACACAGAACAGCACACGCAGCGAAACATCCATTCCCTGAGCGAGTTTCGAACCCGCAGCCATTGGCTACGGTCAGGCACGCTAACCGTTCAGCCACCGGGCCAGCTGTTTTATTTATAGCAAGTATAGGGACACTTGTATAAGAATTTTTTTTACTTGCATGCTTAACAATATTTGCTTCATTCACGCATCACAAAACAACACACGGAGAGGGAAACATCCATACCCTGAGCGGGATTCGAACTCGCAGCCACTGGCTTCACAGTCAGACACGGTGACCGCTCGGCCACCTGGGCAGCACTTACTTTTAGAACATGCATATTCTACATTTCGTTATTTTTACTCCTATTTTCTTGGATAATATTTAATAAAGAACTCTTCTATTAAATTAACTTAATATCGTGCTAACTTTTGATAACATCACCAAAAGATGACAGCGGTTCTAAAAAATATAGTTTACCAGTTAAGCAATTATTTATTGCAAGATAAATATGTTTGCAAGTTTTTTTGAAGCAGAAAAGACTAAAATTCGCGAGAAATTTTGTGGAAACACATATAAAAAAAAGCACATACAATGTATACACTGAAAATACATGTATGTGATTTTTAAATATTTTCATTTATTTCACGAGCTTTTTACTATATTAAAATGAAATAAAACAAAAGAATGACAAACTGACAGATATATATCGAGAAAATGCAAATGAACTCACGTTTTAAAAATTCTTTACTTTTCTGTGTAGAATCATTTTGATATTCCGAACAGTAACTTAAAAAACAATAGAATTCAAAAATTCTTTTTATAGGAATATTTCTTCTTTTTACGGGAGAAGAAAAACTGAACTCTGTCACAAAATTTCAATATTATTAATCGGTTCCATAGCTAAAGTACATAAAATTAAATTATTTTTTTTCCTTAAGAAAAATGTGACGTGTCTATTTTACGTCAGTAAAGTCAGACCATCTGCTCTTAGATAAAGTAATTCCTTAACTTTTTCTTAAATTCAATTTCCTAGATTGAAATTGGTCTTAACGCAACAACAGGATGAGTTGGGGGACTATTTTCATAGATCAACAATCTCTGAAGACAAAAGTGGGTTGATATCCAAAGATAAACAGGTACTTCGAAGATTCAGTTTCCTAATTTGTTTCTTGGCCAACACCTTGAGCAAAGGTAGATCTGGGGGACGGGTGGAAATAATTTGAATTGTAAATCAGTTCTTCACCGGCCTGGCTCGTCCTGGTGAATATTTATATGGAATGCTCATTTTTGCAACTTTTTCTCCGTTTCTTTTTTTCTCCCTCTGAAACGAAAAAAATAAAGCTCAGTTTATGAAGAAGGTAACATTTGCCAATGGAACTTTCTTTACTTCTAAAAGTAACTTTCGAATCTTAAATATCTTTATTTTGATAATAGGACAAGTTGTTAATTCAATTTTTAAGAAATATATTATTAAACTCGCAATATGGCAAGTATTATGAAAGATGCAAGTAAAAAAAAATCTTATTCAAGTGCTCCTATGCTTGCAGTCCCGCAGTGGACTGATCGTCAAGACACGGTTCCCAGCAGATCACCGAAGTCAAGCATCGCTGGCTACGGTCAGTGTGCGGGTGGGTGATCACTTGGATCAGCCTGCTTGGATCAGCCTCGTTAAACTGTTCTTCCGTAAAGTGCTCGACTTCGCGTGCAGGTCGTCGGGCTACAGAAGCGGGGTAGCCATCCCCTCTGCAGAGGATCAAAATTGTGATGGCATGTCATCGGATCATCTTCAGGGATGTTCCCCAGACCGTCACCAATAGCACATTGTGCTGTTCTAGTGTGACGTAAATGAACAACAACAACAATCCTATACTTGCAAAAAAATCAAACAGACGGCCAGGTGGCCGAGCGGTTATCGTGCCTGACTTCGAAGCCAATAGCTGCGGGCTCGAATCCCGCTCAGGGCATAGATGTTTCAGTCAGTGTGTTGTCCTCTGTTGTGTGTGATGTGTGAATGGGGCTCACCCTATGAACGGGTATCTGTGACAGTGGGGCGGGGGTAATGTTGCTCGCCTTCATGCCTTTGATCACTAAGTGCTCTCCAGGCAACGTAAAATGAAAAACACTTCCGGCACCTTTCATAGTGAAGAAGTTCAGTGCCTGCCATTAAATAAAAATAAATAAAATATTTTTTTTTTAATCAGGTCTCTTTTGCCTATTTACCATGTGCGATGATGGCTAATTTACTCGTTATTTACACAGGATTTCTCAAAAATTACTGACGATGACATAAATATACGGTTTGTGCCTTCTGTTTAGTTAGACTAACAGAAAATTCCTTATCACCATGTTTTGAATGTAGATCACTGCTAACTGAGGACAACTATAAAACCACAATTCAAAATAACCACTATTTCTTGCAACTGCGTAATACAATCTGGCACAAAATTAGCTGATGTCCAAGCAAACAGAAAAAAAACTTCGTTTTATAGTTTTTCAGTCATTAGCGCTATTTGTTGACGAAAAATTGTAACTAAACAATGTAATTGTAACTGTAAAATTGTAACTTTAAAACTTTGTGGGAGTAAATTCCAAGATCACCTAACAATCCCTTTTTTACCTCAATTTTCAAGTTACCAGCCATTTTTAGTTGTTTGTGTTTCATAATGAGTTATTTTTCAGCGATTAGCCTCGGTTTTTATTATCCTTCCTTTACTTCGGCAATACGAAGTTGAAATATTATTTATTATATTTACAGCATTAAGTAGTAATGATAATAATTAGTGTACTTTGATTCTTATAACCAGCTTTGAACAGTCGATAGAATTCTTAGTTTATGATTGTTCATTGTTCATTGTTGGTTATCATTGTTCAACTCCGTAGTTTTGTAATTTTGAACCCAATCCAGAAGGCAAGGGAACTCTTGGATCAAACTAGCCTTCGATAATTTTCTATGGAACCAGTCAGTATTTGCTTTACATGGAGAAGAAAACCTTGAAAACCTCTCATGGTGACCCGTTAGCAAGGGGATTCTAACCCATGTCCGCTTACCACTGCGGATATTTTACGCCAGCAATGTGGTCGGTGAGAGCCTGGGGCAGAATTTGTATGTCAGCCACAGCAGGGATTCGGACCTGGATTGCCTAGTTGGGAAGGGGG